AAAAAATAAATCAGAGCTAAAAAAGTGCAAAAACGCAGGCAAATTTGCCTGCGTTCTACTACAATCTAAGGGATAGTTATTTTAATTATAACCATATATTCATTAATACACTTCTAGTGCTTTTCCAGTAAAATTCTTCGTTGGAGCCACCAGAATATTTAACAAATCTGAAAGTTCAGTTGGGTTCAGAATTCTATCTGCAAATTCTAATTATGCATTGGCTTAATTTTTGAAAACGAAATTCACATGTTCTTGAAAGATAAATCCCAAATAATAACATTTTTGAATATGAGTATTTTCTTCACTTTTATATGTTTTTTTTTTTTTTTTTCTGAATTATTCTAATATCAAGATTTTTGACTCATTAGTTTAAGTTTTTATGTGATATTAATGATAAACAAGGTGTTAAAAAACCCTAAGAAAATCTACTACTCAATATCTGACTGTATATCACGCCACTCAATAACTACTTGCAGGGTTAGTTGCATCACATCTTTAGCATCATTGGAATTGGCCACTTGTAAGGATAGATGTCCACGTCCTGAAGAATGCCTAGTTCGTTTGTGGTTAGTCATAAACTTGAGAGTAGGAAAGTATTTATCGCATTTGTTGCATAGTCGTTGATGAAGTTCTTAAGAGATCAATGGGCAGCAACGATTATATAGTAAGATTTTAATTTTATCATAATATTGTAGGCATGGATGAGATTAATGAAATGCTGGTCCTTGGCTTTTATAATGGGTAAAAGAAATCCATCATTCTGATCTAAAAGAAGTGCAGCGTTTAGTGCTCTATGTTCTTTACAACACAATAAATTTTTACATTTTTTTATATCTAACGAGTAACGACATATTTGTGTATGATCTTCGATTCATTCCTATGACGTTAAAGATCTCATTTCAGCATGTGGATGTCTAATTTGATCTACATACTCTACTGTGATGGGCTTACCATGTATGTTGTCTCTTTTCCATATTTCACATAAGCTTTTCCCAGAAAATTAAAATTTCTACATGCTAGATTTCATCTAATACTTTTCTTTGACTATCTAGATGTGATCCAAACTTGTCAACGGTTAATATAATGCCGGCAAGCTTTTCAGACAGAGAAGACATACTTCTTTCAATGGGATTGTAAGCACTTTGGCCTGGGCATGTGTACGAACAGTTAGATAGTCAAGATTAAATATATGAAAAAAATTGCAGTATTAGACTATGTTTTTCATATATTTGGGGTTTTCATCGGGCCCCCCGTCAACAAGAAGAACCCAAATGGGTTTAACTTCATTTTTATTCATCATAGCCATGGCAAACTGTTAGTTGAATATGAGACTCTGAAGATCTGAAATATGGGTTGATGATGAGGTGCCAATAAAATATTCTGGTCTAATAAAGATCACAAGTTGTCCTAATCGCAGACTATTATTTGAATTGGTTGGGTCAATAATGAGGTATACAGAAGGTATGAGCTTCATTTTACTACCGACAAAAAAATCGTGATTGGCAACTGAAACTGGTTCATTGATTGTTTGTATGCTTTTAAATGTGCGACCAACTGCGGGAACACCTAAACCAATTTTCGCCTTATCGTCTTGAGAGACAATAATAGCATCATTCGCAAAAACTTCAGCAAAAATCCGGGCAGCTTTAATTGAAGCTAGACAATAATGTTCATCAACATGAGGTTTCATATCTGTTCGTGCTACAGAAGCGAGAGCAACCTTAGCGGGATGATGATGACGACGTGCGGCAGACATATGGGAATGATGAGGTTCAAAATATATTGAAATACATTGGCGAGATAAGTATATGTTATACTTCTCTTCTAACGCTTGCCGAAGGTGTTTTATTGTTTGCACTTTAATGGTGACTTTTCTTCTCTTTGCATATGCAGCTCCAAATTCAATGCATTCGTGAATTTTGTCCCAGAAATCCGGATGATTCATTGCCACTGATGGCCTTCCAGGCCCATCGTACTTCTCTACTACATCTTCTTGAAGCAATCTTGTTTTTTTTGCCTTAAGTCTTGCCTGTGCTTCTGTATGACGTTTAAGATTTTTCAAACGTGCTTCTTGTTTATTGATCAATGACTTTTCTTTAATAATATTTGATTCTAGCATTTTTTTATATGACTTATTTGTTGAAATTTGATACATTCTTTCGTATTCTGATATCTTTCTGTTGGCTACTTCAATTTTTTCAATTGCACCACGTTGACCTACTGCATTCTTGGGTACTTCAATGTTATGTTGCAGATGCGTATTATTAATTTTGATAGAATTAGAAATATTTGTTCTATTCTAAATAAAATTTAATTGATGTGAACGAATGTATGAAGGAATAGTATTAAAATATTTGCGTATTTTTTTTTTAATTAATGTTTTATGTTTGTGTTTAATTTGTTTCCAAGTCAAATTACATTCTTGAAAAAGTTTTTGACGATGTGGAGTTGGATTATATTGGGACGCTTGCTTGTAATATGCATACGCATTACAAAAGGTTTGGTATAAATCTTGAGGTTCTTTGTAAAAAAAAAGTTTTACTAAAATTTGGAGCTGTTAAAAAGCTTTGCATTTTAGTTTATAACAATAATGGTTTTTGTGTTTAAAGTGTTGGGAGCGAATGTATAATAAGATCATAGAACTTTAACTTTCAGGAAAGTATTACTAGCGCGTTAACTTTTGTTTGTTCTCGCTCTATATATTAACCTTTTTTATTTACTAATGACAGGTCTTCACGTTCACGTAAAAATATAGTAGCACTTATTTCAAGTTGAAGAGGCATTATTTTGAATCGGTTGACTTTTTTATTTAGTCAATTGTGTCATATGCCTGGATCAGGTATGATTATAACGGGAAAAATTGCAAGATCGGGAATTTATCATGAAAGGTCACACGAATAGCTTAGTAAAAAAAACTTAGAGAAGTATTATTAGATTCATTCTCAGTTTAATCCTACAAATTCGATTAAATTTATAAGCGATTTTCATACCTAGGTGCGATAATTTCTTCATATTTGGTTTGATTTATTTAAATCTGCAAGCGATTGTTGGTTTTAAGGTTTTAAAATAACCTTATGATTAGAATTCAACACCTGGCAAACGATTTTTTTGTTTTTTAAATTAATATTCGTTGGAGTTAGAAATTAAATTGCTTTTATATTGTAGCATTTCTTTTCTGTTGCAATAATCTAACCAAATATATCGAATAACTTCACTTTATATTTAGCCAGACTATTGTAGATCTCTCATGCAATATAGAATATTCACTGAATGACTATTGTTCTACTACGTATATACCGTATATATATGTATATATAAAATAACCATATTTATACTGGGAAATCAGGATTTGATATATAAAAGGCCTGAAATAAACAAGTTTTTTTTTTGAATAATTATATATGCGAATGTCAAAATTTGGCATAACGAGCAGTGTGCATATATATATATGTATGTACTACGTAGCTTTGTAAAATTTTAATATACATATATATGATGTGAATATGCAATACGTATTAAATTATTAATATTTTTGCAACATTTATTATTTATTATTAAGTTAGCCAGGGCGCAAGAAAAGTATACTATTATTTGGTATATAAAATATGATAGAAAGTATGTTTGAACTCTAATAAAGTGTAAATTTTAATATTTTTGAGTTTATTGTTTGTCAAAGTGTATTTTTTATATGCTGCGATTATGAAACTTATCATATAACTAGTATTTTGAAGAGACCATCCTGATTGATTCTATTATTAATAATCAGGTGGTGGGTAGGGGGTATCCTAATAGTAAAAAAATATCAGATGATAAATGGCGCTCACCTTAATAACTAATTAAAAATTAGTTATTAACTAATTATTATAATGTTATAATACTATTTTTTAAAAAACATTATTATAACATTATAATAACTAGTTAATAACTAGTTTTTAACTAATTATTAACTAATCATAATATTATAATAATATTTTTTTAGAAAAACATTATTATAACATAATAACTGCTAGTTAGGGGTCATCCATAATTTACGTAAAGAAACGTATATAGTAAAGATCTGTAAAAATATAAAAAATAACAAAATTGATGATATCTTGTAACTCAATAATCCAATTTTAACGATTTTGATATCATTCGAACTGTTTCATCGAGACGAATCGAATGATATCAAAATCGTTAAATTTGAATTACTAAATCACAAGATAATTATATTTAATTAAAATTGTAAAATATTTAATTAGTTCAATAACTAATGATCCAAATTTAACGATTTTGGTATCATTTGATTTGTCTCAATAAGACGATTCTAATGGTATCAAAAACGTTAAATTTGGATTACTGGATTGTGAGATAATTACAAAAAACTATTTACAGCACAGTTTTTTTAAATTTTTGTATTTTAGTACGTTATAAATAGTTTTTTACAGTGATCCAATTTTAACGTTTTTGCTACCATTCAAATCGTCTCATTGAGACAAATCGAATGATATCAAAATCGTTAAATTTGGATCATTGGTTACTGAGATAATTAGATGTTTTAAAATTTTAATTAAATATAATTATTTGAATTTATTTAAAATTAACTGGTGATGAAATTCACTGGCATAATAATTTTAGGGTTAGGGTGCGGTTTTAGAGATTTTTTTTTATATTATGTAGAGTAGATATAAAGTCCCGATTTGAGTTCTCATAAGGTTTTCAGGGGTCCTGAACATTTTTACTTAACCTACCTGACCCCTGTTTCATAGTGCAGTTTTCGAGATATAGCA